TCTGATTCATAGGGACCCTGTTTAGGGTTTCCAAGAGTGGCTGGTGGTTCCATTTAAACACTGCTGTATCCTTCTCTGCCATGTTTCAGTGAAGTGCTCTCAAGTTGGCTCCCACTCATAGCTACCCTGCATAGAGTTTACAAGGAGCAACTGGTGGATGTAAACCACCGACTTTCTGGTTAGCAATCCAGTGCTTATTTTACAAGCCACCCCAGGACTTGTCTACTGTATAAATAATGACAAAATATTTTAGAACATATGAAAATAAATCCGCTAGTCACAAGCAGACTGAGGTAAGGCAAGCAAGCACGGTTGGATGCACTCCGGGGTGGTTTTCATCTGGGTGAAGGGCACGCTGGCATAGGACCGAACAGGTTTTAAAATAAGGTCTGTCTGGGCAACAGCTTTCTGATTATGAATCAGAAAATAGACAGAGTTGAAGAAGCAAGATTAGGTGAAGTCCAGAGGCCATGGCCTGGCCTCTGTTTGGGGGAAAGAGCAAAGCGTATAAGCTGGCCTGGTAGAGGGCGGACAGACGTATAAGAGTTACCCAGGGCACCATGTCGTCTCCTCCTCTTTGGTATTCCATGTAGGAGAGTTATCCAGGGCACTGGGTAGTCTCCTCCTTTTTGGAACTACCCCACCTTCATTGAGTCAATTCTGACTTATACTGACCCTCTAAGACAAGGTCAAACTGCCCTGTATGGTTTCTGAGACTGTAAGTCTATATGGGAGTAGGTAGCTGCATCTTTCTCCCTCAGAGCTTTTGGTGGGTTTCAACGACTGACGTCACCAGGACTCCTTTTTTCTTGGAAAAAGGATGAGAGAAAAGTCAACATGAGCCAACTGGTAGTGGACTCCATCATGTCTGTCTTCATCATCGCTCTCTGTCCCTGACCCCCTGGTACACAGCCTCAGGTGTCCCCTTCCTGTCCAGCATCAAAATGGTTTCTTTCCTTCTGACCTTGACCTTGACCCTATGAGATGGCATTGTGAGGGTTCACAAGTTGTGTAATCACTATCCTTTGACTACCTAAAGAGTCTTCCTCACTTCCTTCATCCCTAAAACGAAACTCTTGGCCTTCTAATGCCTTTTTACTTGTGAGTCAAGACTGTTAGGGTTTAATTGAGTATAACATCAGATTATGTAAAAGTATTTTTATTCCTTAACAGTGGTCTTCTCTGTGTACATTTTATTACTGTCCTTTTCTCAAGTCTTGAACTTTAGCATGTGTAGCTATCAGCTTCAGAATCAGAAATCTTTAAGGGCATCAAAGACCAAGATCTACTGTCTGCTCACCACTGTGCATGTGTGTGGTTGTGTGCAGGTGTGTGCATGTGTAGTGTTTACAAATGAATACATGCTCTCCTAATTCTCTTTTCCTGTAATTATTCAGTTTACTATCTGGCAACAGTTGTTAACAATCATTTGATTTCTTCAGCATTTTTACCTTCTGAACTCTGCCCTTGGAAAGCACCCTTGTGGAGGCTGATTCTTCCTCTTCCTGACCAGAGCCTCATTGCTCTTGTTAGTGTCAATCATTTAAATACCTGGCCTTTGAAATTGTCATCTTTATTTTTAGCAAAACGGTCTCAAGGCCAAGTCCCACAAGACAGGTTCCATCCATTTGAATACCTCCTTAGATGTGAATGGGAAAGCTGGACAACACTTGGGTGGGGGAGGGGGTGTTCAGTGCCACACTAGTGGTTTTACTTTTACAGCAAAGATTTAAAGGTATCTTGGAATACCTAAAAGGGGTTCTAGAACTTTCCCAGTGAAACAGGCCTCTTGTGGAGCCTTTGCAGAGTATAGGACCTTAGGTGGAATCCTGAGTCCCATCCAGAACCTTCTGAGGTGGGACATCCCCACTAGAAAGGACAAGCAGACCAGTCTGAACAGCTAGAGCAACAGAAGATGTATCTTCAAATAAAGATCATTGGGAAAAACCCAAAACAAAAATGTCAGCATGACTGGCTACTCCAAGAATAAACAGGCTGTTTGCTGGGAAGCTATCAAGTTCCTTCAGTATAACCCCCTCTCTAAGACTGAAACTCAAAGGAAACACATGAGCAGGCATGTAAGCTTGCTGGTGACCACATTGGTCTGTTGGTGAGTGGAAGAGGGGAAAAGGCAGCAATGAAGAAATGGGCTGAGTTCAGCCACAGTCCTTTGACTCCCGTTGACCTGGAGATGAGAGAGAGAAGAGGAAGTGCTGGTTTACAAGTCTTTTCAGAGAAGTTGAGGAGTTGGATACTAACAGGTGAAATTTCCCACCTTGTCTGCTTCTCCCCCTGTTCTGCTTCAAAGCCACAGGGGCTGAAGGGAGGAGGCTTAGTGCCGCTGATACACTTGTCATTTGTTTGGATGATAGTTTTCTATCTGCTTATGTCCAATCACTGAGGATGCTTTCATCAGCAACCAGAACATTTCATACCAGAATGCTCTAATACAGGTTCGCTGTCTTGCTGAACAGATCGAAAGTGGCTGTTCTTTAAGGACCTTGAGTAGATGAGATTTTTAAAGGAAGTAAAATCAGACTTATGCAAAACCAATGGAAGAAATGATAAGAATCTAATGCCTTGTAATTGGAATTTTAAGAGAAGTATTTTTGGAGTCCTGGTGTGGCGCTGTAGGCTAATGTGCCAGACTGCAAAGCTGTTTGAACTGCAAGGTTGGTGGTTCGAGCTCACCAGCCACTCCTTGGAAACCCTATACAGGGTCGCTATGGGTCAGAACCGACTCGATGAACTTAACAACATTACTGTTTGTTTTTAATGTAGGTCCAGAACTACTGAAAACAATACGGTTGACCCTTGAGCAATTCTAGTGTTAGGGGGTCAACTGACCGCCCACACAGTTGAAAAGCCACGTAAAATTTTCATCTCAGCTAAAAAAATAACAACTCGTAGCCTACTACTTCTGACCATTTGTACTCAATAAACAGTTGATTAACACACATTTTGTTACATGCATTATGTGTTACACCCACAAAGAAGCTACATTTTCAGTAGGAGCTTAAAAGGCATGTCACAAAAAGTTGTGCACCAAGGACCATTGTAAAAAGGAAGAAAAGACAATTAGGGAATCATGCCAGCAGGCACAGCCGCCACAATTGAGTTAACAAAATAATTTCCTTCTCTTACAGTGATTTTTATGATGGGTTCAGCTTCAGACCTCAGTTTTTGCCATGTAGCCTGGTACGGGGGTGTAGGATCGTTACTGAGCTGCAAACCACAAGGTCAGCCATTCGGACCCACCAGCTGCTCCTCAGAAACCCTGTACAGGGTCTCTAGGAGTTGGAACCAACTCAGCGGCACTTAACAGCGATTCCTCCTTTTCTTGTCTTGTCATGATTTCTCCGTGCTTCCTGGGAGCATTTCCAGCATCGTTAGTGGCACTTCGTATGGGTTCCATGGTGTCTATGTGATATTGCACTAAATACGGTGAGAAATATACAAGGACCACAAGAGGACAGTGTTTGCTGCCATGTGGAGACAAACTTCCCAAGGCAAAAGCCACACATGTGTTGTTGTTAGGTGCCATCGAGTCGGTACCGACTCACAGCGACCCTGTGTACAACACTGCATGCATGGATCTATGGCATTCAACCTCATGTTGTCCAAGCATCCACAAATGGTGTACTTGGGTTGATAGTCGTAGGGTGTAGACTATGAAATGTACCATCGTATGTAGTGTGTTTTCTGAGGGGAAATGCGATCTCGCTTTCACACCAACCAAACTTGATGTGCTTTGAGAATGCAGCCCATTGTGCTGTGGAGTGGTATCTAGTAACCAGAACTTTTGTGTTTATTTGTGCAAATGTGAAATTCATCATACACTTATCTAGTGGTTCACACCTTCGTAACTCACAGTGTGAGAGGCCAACTCTCGAAGTTCAAAGAACATACTGTTCTGGCTTTGTACTCATTGTGTGATATTGTGACATAGATTAAAGTTTTTAAGAAATAATCTATCCTTTTAATTATCTTAAAATTACTTTGCAAAAAGCATTTACAGTGAAAATATTAATTTTGCATTTTATTTCTAGAAAAGTATCTAACTTTAATGAGAGTCAGTTTTTAGCTGAGAGTAGCTGTCCAGACAACCTTCCCAGGCCTGTGACCTATACAGGTCCTTTGTAGGCTGTGGAGCGAGTCCACAGTGTGCTTTGTGGGGCCGGGCAAATACTGCCACTAAAGTCTGGGCATTGTTTTTATTCTCCAGGGAAGACCTCCCCTTCTCTTCTGCTCTTCTGCATCTGTTGATCCTTATTTGGGCACAAGAACATTAGCAGCTAGGCAGAGGGAAAGAGTGTGAGCCCACCGCTCTGC